CGTATGAAGCCTGAGTGCTTGTGAAATGCAAGCTCCCCAAAGATCATTTGTATTTTAAAGCACTTGATAAATTGCAAGAATGCTGAGTGCTTGTGATATGTGAGTTCCCCCAAAGATCATGTGTATTTTAAACCACTTGATTCATTGCAATAAACCATGCATCTTTTGATTTTCTCAAGTGAAAAATATAGGTAAACAAGTTGTAAGAAACCATGGATATTGCACGATTGCAAGTCATTTTTTCACGGCTTAATAGTTCACTCGTATGCCCGGTATACTAGGGAAAACCCCTTTGAAAATACTACAAAAAATAGGGAGAACCATATGACATGTTGCAAATATTTCTCCCCGCATTTATTGTTCATCATTCACACCCAAAATACTGGAAAATATATTCCGCTTGGCGAGAGGTTTGTCTTGCCAATATTAGACACAAATAAATATTAGAGGTGTTGCACATCGAATCACTTGGCGCGCCGAGGTTTTCCCCACCAAGCCTTCTGTCGACGACCCAAGGCGTAACAGTACTTGTGATATTTCTGGTTGGCGTATGTTTTATTTGGCCATTTTATCGATGTTAAATACCATCGGATGTGTTAATTTTTATTGGCATTGGAAACATATACTATTATTTTATGGCGGGGTAGGTTTCACAATTTATTGATGCTAATGATTCCTCCTGGCTGACTGATCACGGCTTGCGTCGGTCACTCGAGCGACGTCGGATCCCACCATCATGCGCCCCCTTTGTTTTATTCCATGCCCTACCCCACCTCTTGTTTCTTATACATAAGCAGCACTCCTTTCTTCTACCTTTTTAGGACGTGTTGCTCGCCTTCTCTTCCCTCACCATCGCAACCCGTCGGGCGAATTGGGGTGCTGCTGCTGCAGACCAACCACCGCCACCTGCTACTAGGACGAACCATCGCGGGGCGGAGAAACGGCCACACCCAGTGCCTCCTTATTCCTCTCCCTCACACGCAGTCCTCAGCTCTGCCACACACGAGATGCAAATGCGCCGGGGGAACATGCTGCAAGAGTGTTGGGCGGGTGCTGGAACAGAGACTTGACATGCTAGGACTATAGGATCCTTTTGCTTGCAACCAACGCGAGCGATGGCGCGTGACCGACGAAGGCAATGTTATTACCACCGCTTGCAGTGTTGCAACCATTGACAGAAAAAGCTTCAACTAACGAGGCAGAAAACTTCAATCAATCACTGCTCAACCAGAAAATTTGCAACCGTTTACAGAAAAGCTTCAAACAGGCCACTGCGCAACCAAAAAAGCTACTACATTGACACAAAAACTTCAACCGTAGATTAAAAAAAAGAGCTTCAATCGGCGATAGGAGAACCTACGGAGCGAGCCGATGATGCACATGATAGTTTTGCACCCACATGCTGCGAACGACGAGCATTGCAGTGAACTGACGAGCTCAGGCAACCAGTGCGGCGAGGATCAAGCGGCGTTTGGTGATGCTTCGATCGACGACGACCC